ATCCAGTGCATTCAAGTTCCCAGTAGTTACCATTACAGGATTTCCAGGTGGTGGCCTTTTCCAGGGAGAAGTTCCCTCTCCTTCCCCACTTGCCTCTCATGCTTCCATCTCCCAGGCTCTTATCTTCCTGGTTCCCCTGTCTGTCCCTCTTTTTTTATATAACTTTGTATACAGTATTAACTGCACTTCTTTCAAACATTGTCTTTTATACTTACCCCCCACACGCACACACCCTTCTCACACCCCCATTCTTCACAACTCTGCACTTATTTTTCTTCTTTTATAAAAACAGTACTTTCAAAAATACTGAACTGAATTAAATAGCATTGACCTGTTCTTTATTTCAACACACAATTCTAAATGCCTTATTGGTGCAAATATGGTTCCAGGTACTAGCAAGGAGGGGTGGCACAATGAAGAACGTCGGAGGGATAATGTGAGGTCCAAGCATCGGGTTTGGAATAGACAGGTCTGGGTTTGGATCCCAACTTTGACACCTTTTATCTATGTGACATTGGTCAAGTTACTCGTTATCTCTGTGTCTCACTTTTTGCATTTTCCAGTGGAAATAATGACAGTACCTACGTCACTGATCTATTGTTTTGGATTAAAGAATTTGACGGCTGCAAAGCATTTGGCTTTGTACTTGCCACACAGTATACTCTCAATAAATGTTAGTAATGAAATAGGGCGTAAGCTCTGCCCTCCAGGAGTCTGCAGTCCATTGTGGATAAGATAGGCATCCGAGTCACACAGTTATAGTTAGTGGAATAATAGTTTAAGCAAGGTATTACGGAAATGTAGAGGAGATTGATTCTGATTGAGAAATTAGGGGATGGTTTCTAGAAAATATACAGACTGGGTATTCCTCAGCAGGCAGATATTGTGAGCAAGGCAATGTCACTGAAGAAGAAGGGAGAAAAGGGACAAACACTAGAACTGGGAGCCGAAGACTTGGGTCACTAGCTGTGCTACCCTGGACAAATCACTTGAACTTTCTGAGCCCAAGTTTCCTTTTCGGTAAAATGGGGAGAATAATACCAGCTCTGCCTACATCCCAGTATTGGTATCAAATGAGATACTATGTGGAAAGGGCTTTGTAATTTCTGAACTTTAAAAATGTAGTTGTGATGGTGGTGATGATAGAATAAATAATTTTTATTGTCAGGCTAGTGAAAATCAACTTACACCCATTCATTCATACTTTCTTGGCTTACTCCCCTTGTGGCTAATGGTATGCCTTTGCAAGTCATCTGGCCAGTATTTCTGGGGTTGACAAAAATGTTTTGACAAAGTCTACTCTTAATTTCCCTGCATGCAAACAGAGGCAAGCAGTACACTAGATAGATCCTTCAGAAGAACACATAATCAAAGCATCACTTCTGTTTAGTGTTGAAATGTGAAAAGGAAGGAGTGCACAGAAGGAGGCCTTAGATCACCTACCAAGTGAATAATTAAAAATTAACTCCAATAAGAACTTGTGAAAATCACTATGCAAATGGGGATCATACCGTGGTATGGATCTGAAAATCCAAGATGTCAAAGCAAGCTGATTTTAGCCTTTAGAATAGATACTCTCTGTCATCCTCTGTCTCTATCATCTTTGAGGAAACGGCTACATCTCAAGCATTCGAGCAAAATTTGATTTTGTCTCTCAGGCCTGCAATTTTGCAGCTTGCTCTGTTCTGGATGGGCTGTGCACATACCTTCAAGCAAGCTGCTGGAATCACTCCCAGTTCGCTCAGCCAGCTGACTCCATTACAAAGGCAGATTTATCTTTTTTTCCTTCTTTGTCCAAACTAGAGATCAAAGAGCAACCAGTGGCTAAGCATAGGGTCCACTGGAGCCCGCCGCACCCCCCCAACCAAAAAAGAGAAGAATCCCTTCCCAGGGCAGCCTTTACAGTTACCACACCAGAGGACTGCAAAGAGCAGGTTACCTTGCAACTGGCCCCCTGAAACACCCCAGAAGGCAAGATAGCAGCTAGGGTGTTTCAAGACAGTGACAACAAAATCTAGGTACCAATGCTGCTCCTCTGGTGCAGCCTGCCATATAGACCCGTATCTTTAGGGTCCTCCTTTCAAAATGACATGTTGGATGGGCCATTGTTTGGGGGGATTAACTTAGCATGTGCCTCAGAGTGTTTAGGTTCATCTGATGATAAAGCGTAGGAGGGTAATAAAACAACTCTGAAATCATAAGGATAAGCCACAGGAGGAGAGTCTTCATGGTGGGAAGCGTGTGCAGATCTCCTTGCATATGAACCCTGTAACTTGCTGGGTGATATCAGACAAGTCACCGAACCTATTCGTTTCTTCATCTACAAAACGAAGATGATAATAGTAGTAACTATCTCAGAGTTGTTTGGAAAGGAATAAAATGCAGCACGGTCCCTGGCACCCAAAGAGTGTGCAATAAATAGTAACTGCTAAAATAACTCCCAGGCATCTGAAAATACTCAATTTGTTTTGCATGACTAGGCCCATTTCCAAAAGTTGCATAAATACACTGCCTACAGAATGCAGCTCTTGCTCTGTTCTTTTAGGAGTTCCAAAACACTGCAGAAACTTTGTTTATTCTTTTTGCAAAGCCAGGAGGGTGGGAAAGGGAAAGGGTTACAGTTTTCCATTTCACAGACGGGAAATCTGAGGCATAGAAAAAGTAAATTACTTGCCAAATGTCACATAAAGCCAGCAGCAGAGCTATAATCGGTCATGAACCCCAGTGCAATGCAGCTTGTCTTCACCTTTCAAAAGTCAGGGGTAAGCAACTTCTGTCTGAGCTTTAATACCATCAGTCTAATTTCTCAGATTTTCTATAGCTGCTGATCTTGAGAACCTTTGAAGCTTTGGGGAAATCACATGGGTGATTTGACCTTAAATCTCATGCCACTGGCAAAAGATTAATTGCTAAGACCTGGAAAGGGGCCAGACAATTCTGTGTAGCTGAATAGCAGCATCGTCTAGGGATGTGACTGTCCTGACAGATTTAGTTAGCACATAATTGATAAATCTGGAGTTTGTATAGCTTCGCTTCACAGAGAGATAAGGCAATGGGCTCCGAGGGTTGACATTTACAGAAGCTCTCCCAGTGTTTTGTAACACTGAATCTAGGTTTTCTATCCTCTTCCTCTGAGCATTGCTCATTTTCTGGGACTCTGTTCTCAGCAGGCAATATGATCAGGGCATCTGACAAGAGTGCCACCTCACCCAGTGTAAGCAAGAAGCAAGAAGCCGCCTAAGTGTAGCAGTGTCATATGACTGCTTTGAAAGTCTTATTTACCCTGATCCAGTGCAGGCTGAGTCGAAGAGCGATCCAGCACATTACATAGCAGCTAGGAAATTTTCGTCACAATCAGAATCCAAAAAGATAAAAGGCACCCAGATATGACATCAAAGCTCGGATAGTGGGCCTAAACCTTGGGCAGGCAATTTTACACTGCTTGACTCCTGTTCCAGGCTAAAATGTGTCATAAGACCCTTTTAGCAATGTGAACTCTGACAGGCACCCAGAAGCCTCAGCTTTTATTTCTTTGACTTTGGTCCACCTACTCCACGAAGTATTTTGCTTATCGAAAGGAATTGCTGGTGGATATTTTCCATTCTAATTTGTATCCAGAGCCTATAGAGTTTATTGTAAGATTTTATTATCTTTTCTTAATCTTTGCTGTCTAGTTTTATGTTTCAATTCACGAGGCCTTGTTGTGTGTCTGATATATAGCCAGTGTACTTCTGTAGTTTTGTCACTTCCAGTTGTAAAACATCTGACCCACTAGTTTAGGTCAGTAAATCAGTGGCTACAGTGTGCAAGGTTTTCTGTTTGTTTGTTTTTGCGTGGTAGTGAATAAGGATGGCATTAAATAGCCTCTCTTGCCCTCACAAATAAAAATCCAGTAACTTCATGTATCATAACTTAACACGTAGAGCTATTTTTCTTTTCTTTTTTTTTTTTTTTTTTTTTT